CTCCCCTTGGACAGATTGTGAACCGTTTTAGCAAGGACCTCGAGGCTGTCGATCAAGATGTCGCCCCTACGGCCATCAGCGTGTTAACCTGCAGTCTGGCACTCGCTGTCACGGTTGTCTTGATCACCGTCATCACTCCGGGATTCCTGGTTGCTGCTCTGTTCATTGGAGTTCTCTTCTATGTTGTATCCGCCTTCTATTTGCGTGCCTCCCGTGATCTCAAGCGCCTGGAGTCAGTCCAGCGCAGTCCACTCTTCCAGCAATTTGGCGAAACGCTACATGGTATCACAACTATCCGAGCCTATGGCTGTGAACGGCGTTTCATTCGAGAGAACTTGAATAAAATCAACACACAAAGTCGGCCATTCATCTACCTCTGGGCCCTCAATAGATGGTTGGCGTTCCGTGTTGACTTACTGGGAGACATGGTTACCTTCTTCGCTGGCGTGTTCCTTATTTTCGGTCTCGGAAAGATTGACGCTGGCGCGGCGGGTATGTCTCTATCCTACGCAATGAACTTTACCGAAAACCTGCTTTGGCTGGTGCGCAACTATGCTATCAACGAGCAAAACATGAACTCGGTTGAACGAATCAAGGAGTATCTGGAGGTTGAGCAGGAGGCGCCCGAAATCATCGAGGACCATCGACCGGAGCCCAGCTGGCCCTCAAAGGGTGGTGTTGAGTTTGTGGACTACTCAACAAGGTACCGTGCAGACCTTGCCCCGGTACTCCGCAACATCTCCCTCAAGATCAATGCAAAGGAAAAGGTTGGCATTGTTGGGCGAACAGGTGCCGGGAAGAGTTCGCTTACACTTGCCATCTTCCGTGCTCTCGAGGCAGACAGCGGAAAGATCATTATCGACGATGTTGATATCAGCAAGATTGGTCTGAAGGATCTCCGTGACAATATCACCATCGTTCCCCAAGACCCGACGCTGTTCCGAGGTACCATTAGGAGCAACCTCGATCCTTTTGAACAGTACACGGATGAGGAGGTCTTTGCCTCCCTAAGACGAGTTCAGCTTATAGGGCAGGACGAACCCAACACAGTGCCTCCTACGCCTATAGTGGCTGGGTCAGTGAACTCAGAATCGAATTCGTTCTCGTTCAACAAGAATGTCTTCCTAGACCTTGCTTCGCCTGTCAGCGAGGGCGGACTGAATCTATCGCAAGGCCAGCGCCAACTTCTCTGCCTGGCCCGCGCTATGCTGAAAAGCCCTACAGTTCTGGTAATGGACGAGGCAACAGCATCCATCGATTACGTGACAGATGCCAAGATTCAGGAGACTATCCGCGAATTGACAGGAACTGTGATTACTATTGCTCACCGTCTGCAAACCATTGTGGATTATGACAAGGTGCTGGTGTTGGATAAGGGCGAGGTGATTGAATACGCTCACCCTTGGGAATTAATCAACAAGGACAAGGGCTTGTTCCGCAGCATGTGCGAAATGAGCGGCGAGCTTGCTGTACTCGTCAAGGCGGCGAAGAGAAAGTGGGATGAGGATCGATTGATTGACGATTCGTAAATATGCAGCAAGACCTACAAGAAGAAGATTGGGTAGGGGAAAAGAGATGGAGGCGACCGGCCTGCACAAAGTTTTTATTATATGTTTGGCTGTGTAAAAAAGTCAAGGACCCTGCGAAAATAGTATATAGAAGGACATTTTGTCAGGTACGTGATTGCACAGCATAGATGGCGATCTAACACTTTGGATAGTAGTAATCCATGAATATACGTTTGTATTAATTAATTACGTTCAAATTAATTACGTTCAACGAAAGTCTAGTATCTTATGCTATGCAACTGACTGTGATGGACATGTAAGTTTGGAGAAGCATCAAGCTTAGTCTACGAGCAAGGGCCTGCCATGTTTCGGCCGCCGGTGACTGTGATGAAACGGACATGGTCTTTCTCTGTATTCTGGCGGTACATATCGCACTATTTAGGCACGGTGGCATAATTGAAATTCAAACAAATATAGATAGATGACAGATTGGCTTACGGCTAGGGGTTTCCTTTGGGGGGCCACGACAGCATTGAGAGGCTTTGTTTGGTGAGACGGTGAGAATGGGATTCCGCCCCCAGGCCAGACTGGGATCGTATGCCGGGATGTCACAGATTGCACGCTGGAAGATCCCTTCCTCTGCATTCGTCGGTGCGCTGCGTTGCGACACGGTTGCAGGAGGCCAAAGGTCGATTGCAGGCTCGAGCGCCGTGGAGAAACAGCATCAGCGCCGGATGGTCTGGACTGGGCATGTCTCGAGCTGCTTAACCCGCCATGACAGTACCTCAGGTTAATACTAGGTAGGTAGGTAATTATGTAGCGTTGAGAAGTCGGGTATCTGTCGTCAGTACCTAAATGTACTATTGTGGGACGGGACAGCCGAACGGGTGCGGTTGTGCTTCGCTTAAGACGACCTACCCAAAGTAACTCGAAGGCAAACTGGACCTGAACCGGCGGCTGTCGTCAATAGTACCCGCCTGGCCACCTGAAAGCAGGCATCTCGCCTCCAACAAGAGCGAGAATAAGCCCAAAGTACCTCGACCACACCACCACAAACGCACGCACGCACACGCACGCACCTCGCTAGCGCCTTGTGGCCTGCGTACGCCTGGGCTGAGCTGCGCCTTCATTCTCGCCATCCGTCGCTTCATCACTAGCAGCCTGTTGTATTTGCCTATCCTGCTCTGCTTTTATTTGCCTACCTTCACAGCCTCTGCTCCCAGACACTGTCGCCGTCCTGTGAAGCGAGCAGACATATACGTCATTCCCACCATGGGCAAATTCCAGGACGAACCCATCCCCTCCCCCAATCCAGCCACGCCGGTGGGGGAGTCACCTTCATCGATCAACCTCAATTCACACGGCGGACCATCGCTGAACTCGACCGAGCGCTATTTTGACGATGACCCAACCGAACTCCATGCCGATGACCTTCCTCCCCTCTACAGCGACCTCGAACAGGGCCCGTCGGAGCCAATCAACCCTCTGATCCCCCCCGGTACCAACGCTCTCAAGGTCCGGCCATTCCTACAGGACAAGAACAAGGGCATCGAATACTATCTCGACCACCGCCTTGATACGAATCCCGAATTTCTCGCCGAGCACATCGCCCACCTCGCCGTCATCCCTCCCCGACCCTACGTCCACATCCGTGGCGTCCACTCTGAGCAGGTCCGTAAATCGGACGGCAAGTCGGAACGTCGTGAGATCGTCGACTTCAACCTGCAGATCGAGCTCACCCACCTGCTATACGAGGACATCCAGGCGCAGAGGCCCTTCCTCCGCGAGAGCACCACGGCGGGCAACTTCGAAAAGGTCCGCCGCGGCACCGTTTTCCCTACCAGAGCCCCCGGCTTCGGAGGCGCTGGCATCGCCGAGGCGGGCACCCCCTCGGTCGAGGAGTGGTGCTCGCGGTACTGCAAGAGCCGCGCCGGGCTCAAGAACTTCTCGTTCGAGAGGCAGGTCGAGGGTTGGGACTTTGACCTGCTGCGGGGCAAGCTCGAGACCCTCCTGCGGTCGACCAACTACCGGGGCAGGCTGGCCGTCGAGTTCCCCGTGCTCAACGCCCGGGTCGAGATATACAACGACTGCCTCACGAACCGGTGGCGGCTGACCAAGTGGATCGAGATGATCTTCGTCTTCACGCTCATGTTCATCTTCACCTGGCCGTGGCTCCTCCTCCGCACCGCCCGGTGGGAGACGGTCAACGCCAAGTGGTACCTGAGCGCCGTGGACACGGTCGGCCGCAAGAAGTACGCGACCCTGAGCGAGGAGCAGTGGTACAACATGTGGGCGCGGCCGATCCAGAAGGCGGCGCTGGAGCGGAGGCAGGGGACGCTGGATCAGGGAGACCTGAACAGGGTCGGCCTGACGCCCGACCCTCAGGGCGGCTTCGCGAGCGCCGTCCAGGCTGGTGTCGATGCCATGGGTGTCGTCAACAGGTCTTTCGGCTGGGGCGGCGACAGCTGATCCGGCCTGGCATGCCTGTTGATGGAATGATGTCTCTTAGCCTTGCCTTCTCCTAGGCTCCCGTTGATCTCTTCTTCCTCCTCGTCTCTTTCTTGCACAGCTTGGGTTTAGGCGTCTCTCCTCTGTTTAACCGTCGCAGGAGACTGGATTTTTTTTTCAGCTCTTTACTATCCTGCTCTCTCTCACCCCTATCTTTCCGTTTTGGTTTTCGTTGGCATTGCTTGGGATACGTCTTTTCATTCCCTTAGTTGAGTTCTGGTGTCTCTCATCAGTGCTAAATCATCGATCGCACTTGATCACGTTACGCGTTATGGTTTCCTGTTTTCTTTTTGTAGTACTAGAGAATCATATTATGCCGATATGCCATTTTCCGCCGTCACTCATTGCGAGCTGTGCGACCAGATCAGTGTTAGCAGCTGCTACTATGGTGATGAACATGAACACTTTCACGCGTAGGCCAAGACTCATGAATTGCATAAAGTGTGAGAAACCGGTGTCATCTCCCCAGTCGAGGTTCAAGTATCAGTGCATCCCCGATGAAAGCTGGTGATACCACAAACTCTCATTCATCACCAACAGCCTCGTTTGAAAGATCTGGACATCCCGCCAGCGAGATCGACAATCCCCTTGTCTGGCCAAAGCTCCCATCGCCCTAACTCAGTTCGGGGGGGACATGCCACATCAGGGTTCCAGGACCAGACCATCAACGGCTTTTCGTCGATCAGTTTTAATTTAGGTTGTGCCCAGTAATTAATTAATTAAGATCTCATCGAAAAGATGCCTCGAATAGATTTTTCTGGAAAGGGACCCTGGATTTTCCCATCATGTACAAGTAATCCACTAATTACAGGACCCTGACAAACAATTTGCAATCCGGACTTTTACCCCACCATCGACCTCTCGCTCCACCCGAAGTGCTAATCATATCTACCGTCCGCCATCCGGACCCAAAACGTCACCGCACGTAGCTTTCCCCCCATACCCGCTGCCATGATACACAGGGAGAGCGACAGCAGTCCGAGGATGTCCGGGGACGGCGCGCTGGAGATCAAGAACCCCCGGCGGATCCTGGCCGTCTGCTTGGAGGATGCCACCCATCATTTAACTCGGGTGGTCCAAGGTATGCTCAACGAGACCCTCACTACTACCCTACACCGCGCTTCGTAGAGTTTCAATATCACGGGGCGTGCGGTTTCCCCCCTGCTTTACTTTTATTTCTTCTGTATTGAGTTGCGGGGATGGTGGAGTTTCTCTGTATTGGTTGAATGAATTTCGGTATGCTAATTATCTACGCCTTTGTTCGACGGGGCGGCGAGTAGAACTCACGGGCTCCCCACCAGAAGCAGCGTCTACAACGCTGGCGGGCTCAACTCACGATCTAAATCTCAAGACGGCGTACTACACAGCCGTGGTCCCCACCTGGATCGACCTCATCGCCTCCCCAGAGGAATGGAGCGCCTCGTTCCTGTCCCCGGAGGCCCGCGAGGTCCTCACCGTCCTCGGCGGCCTGGTCCTCGTCTTCCCCCTCTCGAGCACCGCCGCCGCCGGGCCCCAACCGACCAGGGACGTGATCAAGCACGTCGGCAGGGTCGTCAAGGAGGGGCTCGGGGGCTGGGAGTGGGATGGCGTGGGACTCGCCGTCGGCGTCGGCGAGGGCGAGGCGGAGGAGTGGGATGAGCTGTGCGCCGAGGCGGGGCTGGAGTTTGTCCAGGTGACGGGGTCGTCGCGGGATGAGGGGCGCAACGAGTTTGGAGGCAAGTTTTACTTTCCAACTATCCATACCACCTGGCTTCTCACCCCGTCAAACATGGGAGAGTTGGGCCAAATACAAAGCCAGATTTTCAACTGGGGAATAGATGGATCACATGGCTAACGAACACGGGGGGGACGCAGAGAAGATGGGGACTGCAAGGATCCTGGAAGCCCTCGAGGCTAATGACTGGGAACAAGGCGCAGGGCCACTCTCGGACTTCGGAGACTTCGAGGGAGGCGGCGGCGACGGGGGGGACGACGAGTTCGACCCCGAGAGCCTCGACTTTGGCTTCGACAGCGCGGATTTCGAGGGTATGCGCATGGATATTCTTGGCGCTGGAATGGACAGCCAAGGCGGCGACGAGGAGGCGTCGAGGATGGCCGAAGGGCTACGCGGCAACAAGAGCGAGGATTCCGCAGCAGCGCCAGCGTCGGCACCAGTGACCGCGGAGAAGTCGGAAGGCGAAAAGAGCGCGGAAGAGGGGGACGGGGACGGGGAACTGAACGATGATGATATCGCCAAGGTGGAGAAGATGATGAGGAAACTACAAGCTGCGAGGGAGGCGGGTGAGGGGATGGGCGAGGACCAGAGGAGACGTATGGCAGCGAGGGCAGTGGAGGAGGTGATGCGGGAGCTCTGAGTGGCGAACAAAAGATCATCCCGGAGTCGGTTAGCTGAGGGGGAGGGTGAAGATCATGATGCCAGCATTGAGTGATGTGCTTGAAATGGTTTCTGTCTGGATCAGGAGATTCGCGTCCGTCCACGTTGACCATGCCATACTTTCATCATCTTGCCCCTCCGCCCCTCCTTTCTTTCACCTGGAAAGATATGTGTAAAGTACCCGGATGATTTGTTTACGACTGCGTGTTACCATGATGTACTTCTACCAGAGGCTTAGCAGTCGGCGACGCCGTGTTTCTGGTTGGATACCGAACTACGGGCAGAATCTTTGCCATCTGTTGTAGGCCTATAGCCGATCCAGACGGCAGCAGTGGGGAGGAGGGGAAAAGAAAAGAAATCAACAAACATCGAGCTGAAGCATAAGCAACACGTAGAGGTGCAGTGCGCCACAGTCCACAAGACGACCCATACCATCATCAGATCAGTCGATATGCAAGGGATGAGCAGGCAGCAAGTAGCGACGAGGCTAGTCTTCCTCGAGCAGTGATGCTGCATGTCTGGCAGGCTGAGACAGGTGGCTGTTTATTTGTCCGACTCCAAAATGCTAGGTTGGTCTATGATGGATCTGGGTCGTGTTTAAGCCGCATGTGTATCGTCGATGGGCCGCTACGCGTAGCTAAGAAAGTCTTGGCACATAAACGATACACCTGGGATCCCCGTTCAGTCAATCATTTCGAGCAATCCATGTACGGGTTCGTTCGGTACTTAGACCCAACTGCCTAAGGCAGACAGCCAATGCATGCTTTCACCGGGATATGGCAGGTCCATATAGAAGGCATGAAGAAAGCAGAAGAGGTGTGAAACTAGAGTGCGCGATTCAAGCCAACTACCTATTGTCAGGTTTCTTCCCCTTTTCTTTTTTTGCTTGTCATGCAGAAAGGGCACTAGTATCTGGCCCTCTCCCGCCACAACCGACGGACGATTGAATGAAATATATAGGAGAGCGCCAATGGTTAGGGTCTGTGCGGCTGCCCACTTGATCACTGGCAATGGCAAATCTGTGCCCACAGACCCTCGATCTTATTCAGGTTCTCACATCACGGACGCTAGTAAAGGGGGGTTATGGGTCTTCGGGAGGCACAGGAGCCGGACCTGGCGAGAATGTGAGAAGAAAAAGAATCGAGTGAAAAAAGAACCAGGGCCAGTGAGGGGGTGTTGTACACCAGGGCGGGAGACGCGCTGGGGAAAAAGAAACCATGGTGAGAGGAGCAAGACAGCGGCTGACGGCCACCCACAAACCCTTCGGAACAGTAAACACAGAATTGAGACCCTCTTCCTCGTATGGTATTTTTTTGGAGGCGGGTGTGGCATTTTTATCTCCAACTTGTATATGTCGTCTCTTCCGCATGCGCCCGATGATCCTGCAAAGCGGCCTTTTGACTGGAATTGGCTAATGAGCAGCCACATCCAGCATGCAAGTAAGAATGAGGTATATCATAACCAGACACGCTCTCTAAAGATGTCGTAGGCCTCCATAGGCCTCCATTGGTGTGTGCCGTTGTCCGAGGCTGAGCCTTTTCTGACTTTTCATCCTTCTGGCACACCTTTCCCTTTGCCCTCTTGTTATGATGGGTGCGGGTGGGATGCATAGACAATGCATGCACCCCTCTAAGGACTGGACCAGACCAGAACCAAGACCGAGCTAGACTTTTGCACACACCAGACTGCTTCGTGGGCTGGCCTTTGGGGGCGGTGGAATTATGTATGTGCTGCAATGCAGCAAGCATGTGGGAAGCAGACCACACACGCATACATACTCGTGCATGAAAGCTGGAAGCGAACGGCTTACATTGGCCACCCGTTGGTTTTTGGTGTGTTGGCAAGGCATGAAGTGTATTATGGAGGTACCTAGATAGTAGATACGGAACTACGTTTGGAGGTATCATGGATGCACTTACCCACGGCACAGCTGCGTTGCCCTTGGGTGTACCTAGGGTAGCAGTGAGAATCACATCGGAGATGCGATGTGGTCGAGACGCACCTTGGCAGGAACAGACAGCCCTCCCACTAGCTTCTGACCTGCATGGGAGTAGGCATCGCGTACCACTCACACCACTCCACAGTCCACCACTCCAGCATCGCACCAAAGCGGTCAACACGGAGTTTTGAACCGCAGGCCAGTTGGGGAGGTGTCTGGTGACGATTGGCGACCGACATATCGCTCGGCAATGACATGACCTACGCCATACATCCCCTGTACGCCAAGCATGGGGGCAGGGAGCCCGTACCCATCCGTCGGCTGCGCTCGTCTGGAACAGGAACAAGACGGCTGTGGTAGCCTGACGAACAAGCAGCGAGAGCCAGATGATCCCCAAACAGGAGGCGCGTTGCCAGCATATTCCATGCACATATCGTGATAGGTAGATGCCATACGCGTGGAAGCCCTGGCCATTGTTCATATACACTTGGTGTAACAAGTGACAAGATCTGCCCCATCACCCCATCGTTTGAACATCAGTTGTTTCGGCTGAAACAGTCAGGTCGTTGCACTAATTGTATTGGACGTTCGCCCTGATACCCTTGCAGCAGGCTACTGGGCAGCCAATCGTTTTCAAAGTTTATCGCCGTCCATTGAGTCTCTGGGCGGGCCACTTTTAGTACATGACGGTGACAAGATACCCCGAAGGAAGGGAAGGGGAAAAAAGGTCCATGTGTGCATGTGTGGGACGCTGTTGGGGCTGGTGGATCTAAGACAACGCTCTGGTTGGCCTCGCCTGAACGCCAAGGCTGCATGGATCTCGCGAACCTGCAAGGCACAGGATCCGGGTTCAGGGGCTGGCTAGTGCTCGTATGTCGTAGCCTCCAGCTGGGGACGGGCGCTTGAGCTGTGGGCCGTGGTCAGCAGCCTTGAGGCAGCTAGCCGTAGGAGGCACGGGAAGCGTCGTGCGCAACAGTTCTGGTGCGTGGAAAAAGGTTTAGTCAGGGCAGGTCTCTGTGATGGTGTCTGTTAGTCCAAGAGGCAGGCCCAGGCTAGGGTGGTCTTTCATCCATCCGTCCATTCACCCATCCATCCATTGGAGCCTCGCGAGTCATATCCCCTTTTGTTCGATGATCGCCAGCTGACGTTGAGGATTTGCTTGTCGATGTCTTGTTTGTGTTGTTTGCCGCGGCGAACTACGCTCTTGAACGGGCTGGGATGAACACAGTACTTGATTGGTTGTCTCAAAGTTGAATCGTAGAGCGACCCATCGGGGTAGCTCGCTCGGCATTACTAGTAGGGTATCTTGACCTGACATGGATCTTGGTATTCTCGAAAGAGGGTTCTTGTGTCGTCTTCTCTCACCGAAATCAAGTCACGTTTTATCTGCCTCGGAAGATGAAGGGGGGAGACTCTCACGCACAGATGCTTGTATCCTGCAGACGGGTCAAACATACCGCCTTTAGCACTGATCTCGCATCGCGTCACATGGAAGTGCATAGGTGGTATTACCACACTGATGCAGCATCGAGAAGTACCGCCTGCCTGTCTGAAGGTACCGCGCAAGATGATGCTGGTACCTCCCTTCTGGGGATGGCCGCAGGATCTTATCATGTATGTATGCGTCCTCTGGGCATAAGGTACGTCAAAGTCAATGGGCTTGTGGACGGGACTTGCGATGCCTAGTCTGTGCTCTGCAAAGTCCCGTCTATTCATGGAATCTGGAGTAGAACTAAAACAGGGACAAGCGTGAGAACGGGGGTACGTACCGCCCAAGGTTCCCCCAATGCAATGCATGACTTCCCGTGCACTGTGCTGGCTTCTGCTCAGCTCAATTTAGCGCCGGGCTCTTTAAGCAAGCAGTGGCTGGAGGCCCTTCCTCCCGTCTGGGTGGTGCTGGAGCCTGTCAGAGGCAGCACCACGATGCGTGGGCTTTTGGCCGATTCGTGTTGTAGTAGAAAACCAAGGCAACCACTACTGCGCAAAGAGGGCTCCGCCCGCTGGCTGCTCGCTTCGGATAGACATGTGTGCTCCGTTCCTGCGCGAGCCAGAGGCGATCCTGTCACACTGGTGGCCTTCTGCTCCCTGGGATCAACAGTGATGGACTGCCTATCAATCGCAAGGTCAGTGTGAAGAGAGGGGATGGGAGAACGGGCAAAACAGACGATCAGACGAATCACTGGGTGACGAGTTGGTCAGGTGGCATGGTGCCAGCCAATGGAGCTGCACTGAGGCGCGTATGCCGCGTCTGGAATCAGCCTTGGGAGAATCAGGAGGACCCAGCTTTTGAACGAGTGCTGGCCGAGACAGTGGATAGGTGTCATTGGCTAGCAGCTCCCGATGTCAGCGGCGTCAGGAGAGGCCCAGTCAAACCACGGGGAGAGCCCGAACAAATGGATGTTCGCTCTGGACTCGGACTGGGCTTGACTGGCCACCTTGTACCGTCCCGTCTGGCGTTGTACTGTGCAGGTACCGGTCGCTACCCCTGTCCAGCCCGTCTGTGTAAGAGGTGCTGCCTTCTTTTTTTTTTCCCCTCGCCATAACCACCTGCCGACTTACGGAGCACCCTTGCCCAAACTGGGAATACAGTGCGCTTTCCACACTGGCTCACTTGTGTCAGGAGCATCACCACCACTAGGCATTCGGTGCCTTGCAGTCTTAGCGGCTGAACACATGCGGTACGTATCTGGCTCAGCGGGTCCCTGGGTGGTCTGAGCCCCTGAACCCTTCAAGACCTTCACTCCGTTTGCTATTCAGGGATGGATGGATGGATGGATGGAAACGTGAGTATCCCGGTCTGTCCGAATGATCCGTTAGCACCTGACTGGTGTATGGCTGCCTTGCGAAAAAGCAAGGGGATGGGACGAGATACAGAGTCTGGATGGGAGGCGGGAGTCAATGGCATAGGTTTCTAGAACGATTCAGCCAGACAAGTCCGTCATGGGTTTGCTCAGGTCTGGTTCGCATCGGAATCAGTTCGTGGCGACCAGCCGTCAGGAGTGATGATACATAGAACTCTAAGCATAGAAGGGACCCCTTTT